TTCTCAAAGTCCCTATGTTCCTTCGAACGGCTTGCTCTTGTGTTCTGAAATTCTCCAGTCGTTTTCGAGCGGTTTGCTAATTTTGTTCACGCAGTTTGCTCTTTTTTCTTATATTATCCAGTGTTTTTTCGCTTGGTTTGCCCTTTCTTCTCAAATTCTCTAGTCTCTTTCGAGCGGCTTGCCACTTGTTCTTAAATTTTGCAGCCTCTCTCGTAGATTCTGGAAATCTCTTTCGAGCGGTTTGCTCCTTTTTATCAAATTCTCTAATCCTTTTTGAGCGGTGTGCTCCTTGTTCTCAAATAATTTAGTATCTTTGGGGCGCGTTGCTGCGCTTTCTCGTGTCATTCGAGTGGCTTGCAAATTCTCTAGTCTCTTTCAGTGTTCAGCTCCTTGTTCACAATGTTTTTCGTCTTTTTCAAGCGGTTTGCTCCTCTTTTTAGCGGTTTGCTTCTTTTGCTCAGTTTTTTTAGTTTTTTTTTCGAGCGGTTTGCTCAAAGTCGCAGTCTCCTTCGAGCGGTTTGCCGCTTGTGTTCTCAAGTTTTCAAGTCTTTTACGAACGGTTTGGTCGTTGTATCTAATTCCCTATTCTCTTGCGCTTGGTTTGCTCTTTGTTCTCAAATTCTGCAGTTTGTTTCGAGCGGTTTGCTCCTTTTTATCTCCTGAGCCTTTTGCTCTTGTGACACACCGTCTCAGAGTCTCTTTGTCTGTCTTATGTCTCTTTGTTCTTTTGTTCCTACGAAAAAAGCTGTGCACGGCCGGCTAGGTTGTTTTTTTTTGTCTCCCTAAAGATTCTTAGGGTCGAGACAACACGTGTGCACTGAGAAAAAACACTCTAAACCTTTTGGTCGGGAGAAGGGGGGACCTCAAGGGGAGGCCTCTCATTGCTTCTGAACTAATCATTTCAATGGTGCGAAGGGTCCCAGCCCCACCTCCACTACTGCTGAACGACCTGATTGGACCCACACGCGGATTTCACCTGGTGGCCTACTAATGCGAAATTGTAAACGACAACTCCCGCAAGCTGCACAGAGCTAGCTTTCGTCAAGTGACCCAGGCGATGAGCAGGATGAACGGCCACTTGCGACATCACCCGCCTGCACAGCTACAGCAGGCGTTAAGCGGGGCTTGAGGAACACAAACCAGCATGATACCGCTGCATGCAACCAAGGGACAGAACTGCCAACTCGATCTTGCGATGGTCTCTTGCAGCGTTCCGCTCCTTCTCACGAAGGCAAGTACATGCCATTGAAGCGATTGCACGGTATATACATAGAAAGACGCACTCGAGGCTCTGGCGCGATACTTTCGCACAAGCCTGCAGACGAAAAGCAACCCCAGAGGACCAAAAGCGCAGGACTCTTGGATGCAAGGATGCCTGTTCAGCTTTCCCCAGATGTTGAAGCTTGCTAGCAGCTGCTGCATTTCACGATTGAAGGAAAGAATGGAGACCTCGGTCAACTTGAACTTCAGGCAAACAGCTTCGACGAGAAGGCAAGTTGACGAGCAGTTCCGGCTGGGCCCCTTTGCGCCGTCCAGCAGCAGTCGCATCAGGCCTGGTCAGCACATCTCCGCAAATCCCGTTGACAGCAGCCACCTGTGAAGGCCTCTCGATGCCTCTCGAGTACTGAAATCTGAGAGGAGAGCTGTCGGGAAACTTTCCAATGATGGCCAAGTCAAGGAAGCCCAGCCTTACAAGAAGCTGACATGGTCGCACGCAACAGACTCTTCTTCGAGTCCGTTGCAGTTGTTCGCCGAAGAAGATGATGAGCTCGTGGCCTCATGCAGAGAGTCAAACACAAGAGACCAGTTGCAGAGGTCGACGGTCCACTGAATTCCCGCAAGGCCGGGGCAGGTCTGCGCAGATTCCTGATCCAGCAGATGACGGATGGTGCCGAGGAGGACCTGCTCAAAGGGTGAAACCCGGGCCGAAGCTTCCAAGACGGGCCAGGCGGGCCCGGGACCTGCAGAAGAACCGGTTCTCGGAGCTCCACGGCCAGGTAGAGATCCTGAGCTGACCAAAGGCGTCTTTCCTTCGTCCCAATGACACACCGATCTCGCCTGCAAACCGAAGTCCCGGAGTCGCCAGCGCAGATTCCACTGCGGAAGCAGGACCTGCAACCAGGAACCGATTGAGGACTTCAGCCCCAGCCCCAGCATCATTTCAGGGCCGCACCCAGAGCAAGCAGTTCATGTAGCAGAGCCTCATCCTCAGGCCAGACTGAGGGAACTCGGGGGCTTCGACCAAGGGCAGAGACCAGAGATTCGAGCTCGGCATACTCAACTTTGTGAGTGAAGTCTTCCGAACCATACCTGGTCGCGTGTGCATAGCAAACACAGCATCGAAAGCCGAGGAACTGAGAGATTGTAGCGGCCTCTTAGCTACCGTTCCACTGAGGGCTGGGCTCAATGGGAAAAGACTTGTCCTCGGCCACTCAGCCAGTATCACACAGAATGCCGCAACAGCCAGGACACCATCAGAACCTCGCGGCTAATGCGGCTAATGGATCCGTAAACCTGGAAGCCACGCCAACAATTTTTGCGTATGGTTCATTGCTTTCCGACATGGAGACTCTCCTCCGTCGTCTTGGCTTATGAGTCAGTAATAGTTTTGGCGCTGCTGAGCACATTTAAAACCCTGCTGCCGCCAAGCGTCTAGATCATCCACAAGAAAATCCTCTAGACCTCGCTCTTGGTGGAACGACTCGAACTCTCACGCCCCGACCGGCAGCAAAAGCCTCACTCGAGGCTCTGACCACTGCCGCTCTCGCTTCGAGCAGCTGCCCGGAGACGCTGGTGCCTCGAGGCTACGGGGAACCGGGGGCTGAGCCGGGAGTGTGCGTCTCAGACGACACACATCGGAAAACTCGGGCAGCGGCAGATCGACAGACTGCTTCCAGGTAGCCACCAAGGAAAACAACAAGGTATCCAGGCCTTGGCAACACTCGGCTGCACATGCTGGCAGGTCGGCCCTGCAGGCATCCAGCCAACATGTTGAGCTGCAAGCCTTCCACTCCTCCAACACCAGGAGCTGCCTCCATCAAAGTCTCGAAAAGGTCCTGAGATATGCTCCATGCCCTGCATCGAGGGCTGGAAGTCCCTTTTTGCTTGGGCTGTCCACACTGCGGCTCAGTGACGGGTGACTTGCGGCAGATCCAATAAAACAGGCGCGCGAGCTCGGACACCAGGCGAAGGTTGTCAGACCTCAATCACCATTGCGATCGAGAGACTCATGACTCCATGGCTTGTCTTCAACCATTTTCCAATGCTCTTCAGAAGCCGACATGCTCGCAAAAATGGCGCCGATGGTCCGAAGATCCACCTGGCAGGCGTGGTCGTACTTGATCATCCTGGCAGGTCAAGAGGGCATACTATGATGATTGCAAACTAGCACTGAAAGCATTCCGATAGCTACCACTGGTCAGTCATACTAGCAAAGGAACTATAAGTCAGAATAAACATGCAGGAGGGCAGTGCAAGCAGGTCACTGCTGAGAATGGTGGGCAAAGATCGTGCTAGGTCTCTCGACAGTTATGCAACTGGCGGGCTCCACGTGCCCATGGTATGGGCACAGTGAGCCATAGCAGAGATGTCTCTGGCCTGGGACACAAGCACTCCAAGTCTTTACGCTCGGAAATCTGGAACCGGGACAAGTTTGAAACAGCGGGCATGCCCAGCTTAAGGAAGCGGCCCATTGCCCCATCCGTGCAACGCTGCTGCCATCACTCGGGCGCAAGTAGTTCGTCGATTTGAAAAACGACTCCAGAATGTCACCGACGGAACCTGGCCAAGATACAGTGTTACAGATCTGGCAGGTGCTGATGTGCAGGCTGGAGCCGTGCGCAGCGCTTTGATGCAGCCGGGTTGCCACTCAGGAAAACTGGCAGATTCTGCGGATCTGCTGAGATTTTCACCTTGCAAGGATTTGGGAAGTAAAGCCCCTTATCCTGACATGAACGAAACACACATGCCTCACGGCGACAACATGTAGCATGGGGGCTCTCGGGAGGATGAGTCAAGTGAAAAGACTAGTCCAAGCTGCAAAGGTGTGCGTAGCGATTTCAACAGCCGCAGGAACCTGCACGCAAATTACGTAAAGGCGACCAGGCCATGCAGTAGGCGAAGCAGGAGTCAACAGTGATGTCAACAGCAACCCGCCTGATTCAGAGCTATGCAGAGAAAATTCAAGACGCTCGTGGAACACAAAGATGGCATGAACCTCAATCGGCCCAGTGTCGCTGACTCCGCATTCCACTTGTGATCGGAACAGACTGTCAGCGAGCTGATCGACTGTGGTCGTGGCTCCGGATAGTCTGCCATCTCCAGGATTGTCTCCTTTGCCACGAAGCACGAGATTCAGGCCATACTTGGACTCGAGACTGGGGAAAGTGATATCACAAACGCCCCGGATCATTGCGGAGCTTGAAGCACGGCTCCGCACAAGCAAAGCAGGCAGATGCACGGCCCGTAGCACTTGGAAGGACCCACGGAGCAACACCGAGTGCAAGTGCGAAGTCGCAAGAATTGCGGAAGTCGAGGCCGCACGGCAGCATGCAATGGCTTACGATCGGCAGAGCGCTTGGAGGGTACTGCGGAGTAAAGTGGGCTGCTCCTTCGAAACTTTGTAGGGGCTGCTGCAGAAACGATCGGCCTGTGTAAAAGGAACCTTCATAGCGGTTTGGCTCCACCCATCCTGCCTGCCCCAAACACCTTTGAGCAAGGGGCCGAACAAGCTGCGCTCTTTCTACGACACCGGCCCCGAGGAAAAAGGGTGCCAAGGTCAAGATCTTCCATGGACGAACTCAGCAGAGAAGTAGAAAACTAGGCACCCGAAACCACAACGAGCGAGCGTCAGAGATGGTTGGCGAAGGTTGCTTCAAGACACACCGTGTAACAAGCTGAGACCAGCGCAGCAGCGAGGAGCTGAAAGCGGTGTTCCTGCTTTGTCACTACATGAGGCTGACAGAAAACGGGTAGTAGCGGAGGCATGGGCGCTGAACGCTTCAACGGACACAACATCGCCAGGGCATGGGAATCACGGGCTGCTGCCCCGTCCTCTGCGCTATCGCCCTCTTGAAGACCTGGCTCTCTTCCGCCGAAGCACAAAGAATCGACTTGAACAAATGTCCTTTGCCTGGTGTCTGGTCCTGCTCTTCCTCCTCCAGATCCTCTGCGCCTGACTGCACAGCTAGTGTAAGCTCCACTCTAGTGCTGAATGCACCTCAGGTCTTGCAGAGGCGGCTTTTTCGCGACAACACACACAAACGAAGCTTCCAGTCGCCTTCTTTGGGCATCGTGAGGAGCATCATGGAGCCTACACACAACTCTGAAAGATAACCAGATTCTACACACAAACAAGCCCGTATGAAAACGCTCTGGGCCTACAAAGTCAAGCTGGACAAGCTTCTCGCGAGCCTGACAGGAGCCCACAGGCAAACGCCTCATACATCTCCTCGGCAAGTGAAGCGCCTGTCTGTTGTGGAAGAAGGTGCGACTGACCCGAACCTTGCTCCGAAGATATGCAACAAGACTTCAACTTCAACGCTGCTCGGACGGTTTCCGAGGTGCAAACCCCCAACTCCCGCCAAGGCGTCACAGAGTGACGAAAGGCCTCGAAAGCCAGGCATGACACATGGGGCGGGCACCCTCCTAGAACCTGAGCTGGCCAGTCGGGATCTCATCCATCTGCTTTTGCACGACTTTCGAACGAATGCTTGCAAAGTGGCAACCTCACAGTACTACAAACCCTGGCAGAGAACAGGCATACTCGAATAAGAGCACTTTTCATCCTGGTTGCCACCGCCCTGATACGCGGAGCATTGAAAGAAATACCAGTGCAGTCAAGCTTCATATTTGAGGTGCTTGATGCAGTTCTCCATGACTAAGTTGTCATCCTCGGCAGAGGTGTTGAGGAATTGCAGGCACAGTCAGAGGTCGCATGACGCATTCAGGATCGCTCGGTTGCGTCCGAGAGTCGAAGGTGGGATGATTTTCACTGCGCACTGTGCTGATGAACTCCCACAGCTCTCGAAACTTCTTGATCTCCTCTGCAAGAACTATTTGTAAGTTGACTCTGCTTTGAACAACCCAGGGCCACGGCGTTTTCTCTGCAGGCAGCGGCAACCGCAGCGTTGAACTCGCTGTAAGTCATCTTGGCCTCAAGAGCCACAGCAAAGAGAGTCGTAGCGTCTGAAGCCATGAGTCATCCGTGAGCTGACAGAAGCGGTCAGAGTGTCTTGGCGCTAGTCGACTAAAGGTCGGCGGCTTTATTTGTGTCTACAAGAATGAGGTGGCGAAGCTTTAAGATGCGTGCCCACGAATATGTGTCCGTGTCAGCTATATACAGCAATATGAATGTCCACGGTACCAGAAGCCGGTGTGACATCCCACAGTGACAAGGGGGGCCGAAACACGCCTGAGCCCGAAAGGCCGCTCTGCGTTCGTCAAGGAGTGTGGCGGGGGTGGGCGATCTCGGTGAGAACCGCGCCGCACGGACGAAGCGGCCACGTATATGAGTGTCTTGAGAGAGAAAGGATCCCAAGCATGAAAGGCATTCTCAATCTTAGCTTTCGTCTGCGACAAGACCGGGGTACGTGGTCGTTGCGTGTGCTTCACCTTTCCGAACCCGGGGCTAGCAGACTAGCAGAAGCAGAGGCTTCGTCCGAGACCTGAGGAGGCAGCGACATCCTCGGGGTCGATGCCCGGCTCCTCAGCGGGCTCAGCCTCCGCATCCTCCTCCTCTTTCTGCTCCACCGACTCCGCGCCCCCCATGCCTGCCTTAGCTACGACGAAGCAGCGAGTCTCAGGGAGGGCTCTGCAGAAAGATCTGCCCTGGCTTCGGCCTTACAGTGCCGTCGGCCTTCCACCAATCACGAAGTTCACATGTCTCTGCAACGCCCGAGAGCGAAGTGCATGTGGCAGCCTTCTGAGTGCTTGCTCTATGCGTCTGGCTTGAGGGAGGTGAGCGGTGTTGACATCTCATGTACTGTAGCTGCTTTCTCGTGCGTCCTTGGGCCTAGACCTGCAGCGTGATCTCAAAACCTCTGAAATGCTGAAGCGTCCCTGAGCTGCTTGGACATGACAACCTGGGGCTAGGGAATGCAAGACGTAGACCTGCGGGATGGGCTTAAGACTGTCAGAATGAGATAGAGAGCTGCGGCTGGCGCTGTTCACTTCACGTCTGACTTTTTCGCCGAAGCCCAGGTCTGCGCTAACATCCGCAGGCCAAAAGCAACTTCCGGAGGGTGAAAGGGGCTGAGGTAGAGCTGGGGAGATGGGAGGGGGCGGTACTACGGAAAGTGACACGATGGGGCAGCAGAGCCCCGTTGCGCTTCTTCGCCTTGGCACGAGCTTGGCACGAGCTGGGAGCATGCTCGGCTCGAGGATGAAGATCAGGAAGCGGATGAGAGCACAGTTCACCGGCCCAAAGCGTCGAGAACTTCGACGTCCTCTGGCTCCTTCGCTGGAAGCTACTTTCCTACACATCTGCCTGCATCATCGAAACGCTGAGCGTCCTCGGGCGTGATTGGCGTCGCTCCTTGCACAAAGTCAATGCACAAGGGAAGAACCGCACGCATTGCATATGTGCAGATTGCACTTCTCACCGCAGAAAACAACCAAGCAAATGGCCTTCGATCACAGTCGCCGAAAGGCCCAGCCGCTCGGCAGCCAGTGCGGCGCTGCGCGCGGTCTCTCTGGAAGGGTTCTTGTCACGAACCTCCGCACGCGAAACGTTGTGCCCTCGCTATCTCCCTGAGCCAATTGCACCTTCATCTCATCATACAGCTCGAGGACCGCCTCATCAAATTGACCTGACCAGAAGAGCAGACAAGCTCAGGTCAAGATGAAGTCAGGTGAGGCCAAGGATCTGGCACTTGCTGCAGGCCCTCACTGCAGTCTCGAATCCAACCCTGTCGGGGTCGATGCCCTGGACCCGCATCTCATCCCAAAGATACCTGAGGCACTGCACGAAGATGCAGGCTGTCAGCACACAAAGGAGAAGACGGAGAAGCGAGCAGGAGAGTAGAGGCAGCGTGGTTTGTCCAGTAAGTGAGAGAACGGATCTGGATGAGAGTGGTCGGGAATCGGGAAAGATAAATTGAGCATGTGAAGCTCGCCAAATCCACAAGAGCCATTCCGGGCGATGACTACTCGTCTGCTGTACTATAAGGAATTCTCGATCTGTAGTGACTGAACATGGCACATCGCTCGCGGCAGGGCCATGAACACTTTGGAAACATGAACGGAATCGTCGTTGACACCGACGTTGTGGCAATCGGCTTCTCAAGATGCATGGATGTGAACCTTTGTTGCCGCGTACTGAAAGAGATTCTCTCATGAAAGCTATTGTAACCCGACCTGACCACGGATGCTGAGAAAATCTCGCCCTGTCGATGTCAACATTTTCTTGGACTCTATTATGCTGGCCATGTGACTTCCCGGCATTTGCCAGTCGGATGCTACTTCGGGCGTACACCTGTTCGGCCTGTTCGGTCGTCTCCAAGAATCCGGACTGCCCAAGTAGTTTGGGGGTTGGTCCTCGCATGGCCTTGTCGAGCCAGCCTTTCGGCCCCCGTCTGTCCTGAGACTTTAGTGTCCACCTCAAAATTTCTTCCTGGTCCGGAAGGTCTCACGGGGCTGCCGCTGCTTCTATCAAGTAAGACAACCGAAGAGCAAGCCTAACCACCCGTTCTGCTCGGAGCCCAGGCCAGACAAGAGGCCCACGCTCGGAGGCCCACGTTTGGAGTCTGTTTTTCTTCTGGGGCACTCAAGCTAAAACCATGTTGAGGCCGCCGCAGGGCTTTCTCCGGCAGGTCGGCTTTCTGGCGCGCGAAAACACACTTCGCCACGTAGCTTCTTCGCTTGCACACACACACACACACACACACACACGCCTCCAAGCCATACATCAGGCGGCCGTAGGTCATCGCTGTGGGCTCAACACCTGCAGGCGAACAGGAACCTTCATTGTACTCAACTTCTCACTGATGCTCCCACCTTCTTTCTTCATGACTTGCAAGTGCTCGGAAGCCTTCCTGACGCACCGCAGAATGCAAAGGTGTTCTGCAAGGCAGCCCGCGCTCTTCGGCGAAAATGTGCCAAGCTACTCCAGCTCACCGGCTGTGATCATGGAGGTAACGGCGACTGTGTGAGTGCAGACATCCAACTCGTACCTGGCGCCGTGCTCTCGAGGACAGACGAAGCTGTAAAGTACTTCCGAGAGCCCCGACCCCTCGGCTCGCATCTCTTCCATCATTTCCAGGACCAGCTCCCACTTCCTCAGACGCCATCTCTACTGTACACTGCAACTCTCACCCAGGCATACAAAGCACAGGTCCAACATTCTCCAACATCCTAGGCAGCTGGCCCAGGGTACTGCAAGGAGCTGAGAGCTGTGTTCATGATTTTGATCGTCGGCCTCTATCGTTGCAGGTCAAGGTGCGTGGCTGCTGTTCAAGCATTCTCATCGTCATGCTGGTTGACTGTAATCCGTCTGCTAGCGGGATCTGGCCTGATGCCATCATCCCGGATTTTCTGAACGATGCCAATGGCCTGCATTACCGAGTAGCAGTGGTTCTGTTCGTCCGGGTGCGAATCCTGCGAAAACAGGCCACCTCTTCCCACTCGTTGCGCTTCCTGTGCACCATGATCTCCTGAGAACACAATCAAACCCCCTACCACGCTGCAATTCGCTGACTGCTACTGTTTGCATTTAGAGTCTAGAGCCGATGTGCTGGTAGTTGTCACAACACTATTCCGATGGGTAGGACAAGAACTTTCGTTCGTGCTGCTTCTGAGATTACTCCGAACAATACTGATAATACTGCCTGCTGCTAGTGAACATTCGAAGGGAGGCCCGTCCTGGGCGTACTTTGTCAGCTGGCGGTTCTGGAACTCTTCGTCTAACCGGGCAGCCCGCGCTAACCTGAGCAACATAGAGGCTTGACAACGAAACGAGAACGAGACGAAACAAAACAACAATAACAGCAATACTGATATTGTCACTACAGCAGCTGCCAGTATCTGTAATGAATAAGATATAGCCACCACCCCACCACCACTACCACCACCATCAAACCATCATCAGAACCATCGTCGAAATCAGCCCCTGCAGCAGCATCGCTATAATAACCACATTCCTCAAGATAAAAGTTGTAGGAACCAGAGTCAGCTGCACCATCGTGGTCATCGCACATATCCTGATCGTCTGATTCTCATGGCTCATACTAGTAGCAGTCAAGGACAAAGACAGGTAACCCTGTATGGCAATCTTGGTCAGACTAGCAAGTCGTTTAATGGCGGAGTGCAGACTTTTGTCGCATGGCTTGTGGCTGGCGGCACGTGCCGAGTCTTGGCCAATTGCTGCGTGGAAACCGGCCGAGGCCAGTCCGTGGTACTACTTCCGTAGGATATCGCGCAGTAACGTCGCCTTGTCAAGTCGGAAGCTCCCATTCAGGAACATCAAGAGGCACAAGCAACGGTCACTATCATCATCTTTTTCCGGTGGGGCGGCAGGCCTATTGCTGGTTTCAGTCCCAACGCAAGACTTCAGTGGATCATTCGGGGTAGCAGCTGCAGCAGATGAAGGCCAGTCTAGCAAGCTGTGCTTTCAATCACCCAAATAAAGGCTGACGCTAATGATTCCAATTCCATGAAGGTAAAGAGGCTGAGTAGCTGCTGATGATGTGTGTTCGTTGGGGCCTGAACGTGGCCTCAAGGTGAAAAGGCTTGGCAGCTGATGCTGGTGATGAGCGCTCCTTGGGGCCTGAAGGTGGAAAGGCTGGGCAGCTAATGGTTAAGAGCGTATTCACTGGGGCCTTATGTGCCAAAATGCTGGGCGGCTGATGCTGATGCTCTGCAGTTTTGGGCCAGGGGAAGGATAACAGGCAGGGCAGCTAATGCTCTCGATTCCAGCTTGAGGACCATCAGCCTTCAGATTAGAGCCGTCCTGGCACAAGAAGAGTCCTCACGGAAGGCCAACACAAACAACTGCTCTGATCCTTATCGTTCCTGTGCGGTGGTAGGCACGAAGCATGCATCCAAGGATGGGGCTGACCATTCTTCTCAAGCAGAAGCACCATCTGCTCGTACATGAAAGGCTCCTGCAGATGTAGGCCAACCTAGCTGAACGCGAAGCTATCCTTGCAATCGCAGCCGTCCACAGTCACTCTGTTGAGCTTCATCTGCTCGAAAAGGTCCCATGCCTGCATCTCGTGGCAGGGGGAATGAAGAAAAGCGTGTCGTGTGCTGTGATAGTGTCAGCCTTGTCAGGATCATGAGATTCGTCTGCGGCCAGGATCGCATTCCAGTAGGCCGATCGGAGCCTGCACGAATCGTCCAGCTCCATGGTCAACCGCCGTGACTTTGCAGAAGTGCCCGCCTTTCGCCCTGCACCCGGAATCCTCTCTCTGACATTTCCTGCAACAAGCTGATGACCTCATCAAGTCAATAGGCAGTCTTGCCCGTGGCTAAGTGTGATCTTGCATGGTGCTACTGTACAGGGCCCCAGACTCTGGTCCAGCTCTTCTTGTACTCACAGGTTGAGATCGCCTGGACCGGGGCCCCACACTTCGAAACGAGACATACACTTCCACCATTCTCAGTACCAGACGTGCAGATACATACTCGGATCCTGACCACGATGCATCTGTCTTGGAATGCAAACCGTGTTCCCTGTGCTGAGCAAGCGACCACCTTGATTTTGGCTTTCTGCCTGCCGACAAACGACTACCCGAGTCGCCTGATCTCAACCCAAGAGCCATCCATTCCGGCAAGATACAAATCCAAGAGCAGCTGCAAGGCGTAGTCCTGGAAACACGTCACGCGCATTGCTCACACTGAGACATGCTGTGCAGCAGGTCAGTGAGGTCCTCGTAAGAGCTGATTCCGAAGCCTGGCGTTGTACCGGAGGCCCTGAAGGGTACTGCTCTTTCAAGAATCATGCGGCTCAAACTTGCCATCTGAGGCTTCCAGTCGTAAGCTTCGGACGCTGCAAGCTGGCATGCACGCAAGGCTTGCTTGTAGATGCCCTTCTCTTCGTAGATCTCGGTCGCTTGTAAAGCTTGGACAAAGGGCATCTCACATGCGACTTGGTGCCAGACAGGCCCATCAACAGCATTCTTATCGTAGCTGCGCCTCAGGACCGGTCCCCAGTCTAAAAACAGGCCGGAGCAACTCATAGCCAGGGCGGCCTGCGCTGGATGGCGGCTTCAAAGAACTGGAGCGCTCGATCCTCGGCCGCAGAAGCACCGGTTCGGCTGCGAGATCTGGCTTCGGCTCTGTGCCGTGGACGGGATCGTTCCCTGCCATGGCAATGCGCATGAGAGCCTCGCGCGATCGCCAAAGCGTGGGCTGGGCTCAAGAGAATGCGCACAGCGCTCCTGGTCTACCTTGGGGTGACTCCTGGACGGCACGACGTGCTCTTGCCCACATGGGAGAAAAGCACCCGACGCCCGAGGGCCGCGCTTGAGGCCCCGATCCTTCATCCTCTGATAAAGGTACAAGCCCTTGTCCATTTCACCGGCGCCTTCCCAGAGCAGCAGTGAACTGAAAGCCGCGACAACATAAACTGAGCTTCCGGACGCTCCGCGGCTTGCATTCCCCACAGGAAAGTCGTCAGGTTCGGCTCCAGCTTAGCAAAGGACGGCTGGTGAGGTCATCCCTGAACCCTCGATAACGTCTCGATAACTGGTGCAGTCCCTGGCAGGAGGCAAGCCTAGGACCTAGGACTCTTTTCCCTGTCGTTCCATCGTTCCACGTCTGTCCGAGAGCTTTTGGAAGCTTTCGAACTCGACCCGAATAGATTCCCGCATCTGTTGCTCCCTCGAGTATATCTCCCAAAATGCAACACCGCCGTCTCTGCGCCCTTCCATGACGGCGCGGCCGTTTGAGTTTGCATTGGTGGCCGTGCTCTCATAGCTGAGGCGAGCACACCAGCCTTGATCATTTGATCCTTATCCGCAAAAGCTCCGCGAGCATCCACCACACATGAGATTCAAGAAGATGCTGGAAACTTCCTCACGCCGAGAGTCGATTGTCTCCAGAACACGCTCAAACTCGCCGCCGGAGCCTGTCTGACTTCCGCTGTGAAGACACATCTGCTGCGTCTGAGGCCAACCCCTAGCAACAGAACGTGTGGACCAGGGGGCAAACCGTAAGCCAAGACCAGCAGGTTGAAGATCTGCCGCCCCGCAAACAGGGACAACATTTCGGGAACGGCGCACCGATTACATCCGACTGCCTGTCTGGTCGGCAGGATGCTGCGCGCGAGCATGTCCTCAAAGAGCTCCAACCTGAGCTCTGCATCCAAACGCTGCACGGCCAGCACCCGGTCAGTTTCATATCGAATGTGCACTTGCCCTTAGGTTTGCGAAGCATTTTGGCAGTATCCCAAGACCCTCAGAGCATCAGCACAACCGATTGCCCTCAATCTAGGTCTTCAGTCACACTGAAAAAGCCTTTGCAGCCATGGCTAAGAGCCACTCGACTTGATCCATGTTCCAGCCTGCGCAGGAAGTCATCTGAGATCTGAGATCAATTTCGAAGTACACAAACCCGCACAAGCCTTCCCCAATTCGTACATCAGGGTCGCATAGATCTGCAGCCTGAGAGCTTTGCCAGCGGCTGAACAGAACGTGGCTGTGACAGAAGCCGTATGTCCGGAGGACGGCAACATGGCCAGCTGCACCCAAGCTCGGTTGGTACACAGTCGTGCTTTTCGATTTCCGTCTTCCAAGCGATGCTGGCTGAGCATGCAAGAGGTACGAGAGCGTGTCGTTCATGCCCCATCCTAACCTCAGTCCTGCCTGCTATTCATGCGATTAAATTAAGGACGAGACGTTGGCTCATAGCCGTCGGACTGCATGTCCTCCGAAAAGCCATCACATCCAATGAGCACGCTGCACAAATGACCAAAGACCCTCGACTCCTTGAAAAGCTGCAGGGCACCGTCCACCTCTTCCTTCCTTAGAGTCTTCTCTGGCGAGAGAAGGCAGCACTCTTGTTGAGTAAACCGAGCGTGGTGCTTGCTATATGCCTCGATGCCGAGATAATAACCTGGGTGGAGCAGTGGCATCTGGCTGCTTGATGTCATCTGTGATTTGTTCTGACGTCTCCGAGTCTCTTGCACTGAGGGCTCAAGGGGATGTAGTGCTCCGCCATCTCCTCTCTGAACAGACGATCTCTTCCCACTGTGTCTTGCAGCCTTGCAGTGCTGAAAGCCGCCATTCATCTCTTCCTCGAAAAGCCTCGCTGTTTTCTCATACCGCCTTCCCATGTCGCATGCCATATCGCGAGGAAAGCATTCAATTCACAAGGTAAAATCATATTTAAGTACACGATAACCTATCTTCAACTGCAAACTTCACTGCTCGTGACATCTCTGCCTCGTCTGCGACAGGGCGCTCATGACCTGGGTGTTGTGCATGCTCGCTTAGCCTTCACTGAAATGCTGCACATCTCCACCGAGGATATGCAGCCAGGAGGCCAAAGCATAGTGTCCTGGATGTGTGGGGAAGTGGAAACCCTTGTTTCCCAACTTGACTCGGAAGCCACAGAACTTGAAAAGCCCTTGTACAAGTAGCTGTTCGCGGTCTGATTAAGAATTCTCAGAGCTGTTCGGGATGTCGTTCTGCCTCACGTCGGAGCAGCGCGGACATGTTTTATCTTAGAACCGTTTGCCTGCTTCCAAACCGGTTCGGAACCGCTTGAAAACTGTTCGTAACCGAATCGGGGTCGGGTCGTTCCCTGCTGTGAACCTGCCCGCAACAGCTGGGAACCAGTTCGGAACTGCTCGGAAGCTGTACGGCATCGGAGCCGAACCGTTAATTCACCCGATTCAACCCAACGCCGAACAGTTCCGATCCGCTTCCCGACAGTTCTAAGTCGGTTTCCGATAAATTCCGGTTTCGAAATCATCCGGTTCCGAACAGTTCCGAACTGTGTCCGATTTCGAGCATCTGGAACCGGCTAGCCAACTCAGGCACCGCAACAGTGTGTGCAGGACATCATTCCACATGGCCAAAGCAATGCTTAACCCGAAAGCCCAAGCGAGTTCGGCACCGATTTAGGGGGAGGCCCCCTGATCCCCAACTTCTTAGCATTCGGGTTTCGGGTTTGGGGACATAGAAACAAAACCGGAAGCAGGCGAAGTGAGAAACAAGGGAAACACATCCACAGCTCGGCATCCGGTGCTCGCTTTCCCACAGCCCAAAGGCCCAAAGGCACAACATCGACACCCCGAAACTCAAGAGCAGTTCGGGGCAACATCTCGGAGATGGTTCTGAAGGAGAAGGAGCGTTAGTGAGAGTGAAGAAGACTCAGAGACACGATGGATCAATCCGACCAAATGTTGAAGCCATCTCACTTTGTGGCCAGAGTCCGAAACTTTGAAAGCCAAAGAAATGAGAGGGACTGAGAGGATGTAGCCCATGCAGACATTAACCCCGCGTGTTCACGAGCCCTCGGCCCCGCGGACTGCTTTAGCGGTCTCAGGAGATTTCAGCAGCTTTAACACTTCTCCTCTGAATCAATCCGAGAATCTATGGTCTGGCATGAAGCCGTTGTGCCACATGCAAGCCAAGATGATAGATGCCTCGGACAACTGGCAGTGCAATCTGGCTGAACCAGGCGCATCTCTGGCAAAAAAGTTTTGGAGTCCGGCATCCCGCCAGCCCTCCCTTCGTCTGCAGAGAAGGCCGAGCCTGCAAAGACAACTGACTGGGAGAAGCTTTGAGGGTCCAAACGACAAAGGGGAGAGAGAGGGAGAGCGACAAAATTAAGAGAGAGAGCGAGAGAGCGAGAGAGCGAGAGAGGCAATGCAACACAGTGGCGCATCTTCGTATTCCTCTTTGGTGGTCAGAACATCACCACGCCTGATCGTACTCGGACATCACGCAACACTGCTCTCGCCTGCTGTCCACTCTCAGCCTGCGAGCTACTACAGGTACTCCGGTGGTGTCCTCAAAGCGAGCATCACCTCCTTGAATTTGCCACTGTCCGGCCGCCTCGCTTTCAAGACCTGGTTCTGTCAGATGAAGCTCCGTTTTCCGTACGGCAGGCGTGTGCAAGCTGAGATCTCAGCTCTCCAGATCGCCCTGGGATGCCAGATTTAATTTTCTCGACCAACGGCCAACAACCTCTGACGCAGCCCGGGTGCTCTTTGCTCAGGTTTGGGACCCAGTGCTGCCAGTCGGACTCCTTAGATCATCGACCAACCTGGTTACCTCCTCCGAGGCAGAAAGACCACGCTGGAATGATATTTCTCGACATTTCGCCCGGATCCGATATGAGACGAGCATCGTTGGTTTCTTTGCCACCGGAGCCTTCCGGAGTGAGATTGAGACAAGCAGACCAGGACAGAAAAAAGGCTAAGGAGAGCCTCGCCGCTCCGCGTCTCTGCCTCAAGGTTGAGCACCGAAGGGATGTGGAGTCCAGGGCACGATGTCATTTCTTGCGGCCGGGGCCTTCCAATTCCTCCACCTCCTCTTCGTAGTCATCATCCTCGCCTTGGCACAGTGTGATCCATGGAACAGCAAGCTTTGCGTTTGAGGAAAGCTGCAATGCTGGGGCGTTGTCCCCACTCTGCCAGTTCTCTTTCCAGCTCCATGGCCTCGTCTTCCTGCACCTTTCTGGAAGAAGCCAAACACGGGATGAAACGAAGCCCCTCACATGCCTCCACTGGCTGCAGCGAGGCCCTGGACAGTAGCAAGCTCAAAAGTTTCCACCGAACATGCCGCCACAGCCTCCGCTGAGTGCCAGGTAGGCCTGGACCAGACACAAGCAACAAACGAAATGTGCAGCTGACATACAAGAAGCACTAACCTCGTGTCTCTCTGCGTGGCCCGCGAGAGGCCACAGCGCCAGCTGCTGCACCTGTTCACATGCAGGAAAGACTTCTACCAGCGGTGCCTCCAGTCGGCACAAGACAGATGAAAAGGTGACAGGGAAAATGAAAACTGGTGCTTGCCTGCCGCAGCGGCGACGAGAACAGGCCTCGACTCTCTGGAACTGTCGGATCGCTGCACGGGACGCCAAAGTGCGCCGCATTACACCGTCTGTTTGCTCGCTCTACCGAGCCCTCGGCAGTCCACACTGCTCCTGACGCGTCTGTTGCTCGGTGCCTGAAGAGCGTCTGGAAATTTCTCAAGCATCATGCCTCTCAACTGCGCATCCTTTCTTGGCATGAGAGGCGGATCTTCACTCCGCCTTGACCCAAAACCGGTCTGGAGAGCCGCAGTGTCTCGCACCGAGACAGGCCGACAAAGCCTCTCCGCAAAACATGGAAGCGCAACGAGAAGGCCGCAGCGGAATCCACTTCACAGTCCCTGGCTCCCCTGGCCTTGGCTCCCAAAAGAAACACCTGGACAAAGAGACGTTTCTGCCGCTGCTCTCGTGAACAGAGCGAGGAGGGCACTGAGTCCGGCCATTCCGACTCCCACCACAGCGGCGGAGGCAACGGAACGTCTCCTCATAGTTTCCAAGACCAACCCGGGCTGAGCGAGCGACTCCCTAGCACGAGAAAACTCGGCATTTCTGGCGGCATGAGCTTGCGTTGCGCTTCAGGTGTCAGCTGACCTGAATCACAGCTTCACTCAAGGTCTTGATCGAGCCCGTCAGCAGGCAAACTAGCCCCCTGACGGGAGCAAAGGCACCAAAATCTTGGGTGAGATCTAGCAAGGCTTCAATCATGAAGCTCCTGGCATTGTCTACACACCTTGCTTCCCTGATGTTGGTGCCCCTCGGCATTGCCTTGGGCAGTGCCGAGGCGACTGGGCTCCTTCCTCATCCGTGCACCGCCTGGGCCAGCATAAGCAAGCTGATCCCCCAACTAATCCTTATCAGCAGTCTGTCAGTCTGTGATTCACCTGGCCCTGACGGCCGTGCATGGACTGCAGACAAGCCCATTTAAGGGTCGCGACGAATTTCTCGAAAAGTCTGCACCCACGATTTGTACGTGAGGCGCCTGCTGTGGAGAGATACTGTAGCCCAGATGACCCCGCGACGAAATCGAGCTTGTGATTGCCTAAATCTCTTTCTACACACCACTGGGCTTCTCTCTCACATCAGTGTGCACAAAAAGATCGCACAGTTGAAACTGTGAGAGACACTCAGCGTTTGCCTAGCCTCCCTCACATTGGCTCCCCAGACAGGGTGCATAACTCACGGCCATTTAATCACCTGCCATGGGAGATGAGGGCTGCAAGTTGTGTTAAGCTGCGCCAGTGCTCTATAGCATGAACTTGCCTGACACCTCCCCTTAGAGACGCAAAGCATTCTCACTGCCTCATCGGTACAGAAATTGGTTCAGCCTTGCGCAGATGACGAGTGCAGCTGGCAGTCTCACAATCGGCATGGCTCAGGCGGGAGCCACTGGCTTGAAGGCAGGAACAGCCACAGGCTCAGCCTGGAGACGAGTGCTTAGTGCGCCAGGGCGCCCATGGCCCATGGCTAACTTTTCAGACGAGCAGCTGGGAACATCCGGGCTCCCTGTGCTGGAATAGTCATGCTGGCGACGCCACGATTGAGGGAGGTTGCACTGGGAGATCCCTGAGCAGGCAGTACGACAAAAGTGCCAGGAAGCGCTTCGCAGGAGGACCCGAAAGCTGCTTGCAAGCAGGGGTCAAGAAGAGTCGCACCCAGCGGCAGTGTGGCGTCCTGTTATCTTGTCTAGTCACACATCAGCTATCTGTTGCGACGATTTTAGACTTGCTACCCATGCCTGTCGAGGCAGCTGCGCAGGCTGGTATCGGACATTCAGGGGGCAGCTTACCTGGCCAGTAGCGTCGTTAGTCGTTTCGGGACTTGACACCACCGCTACACGGAACTGCTGATAACTCTGGCGGCCAAGTTACCATGCGGTTCGGAGGAGGAGACAAGGTGCCGGCGTAGACGGGGATTCGCTTCACACCGGGAGGTGCCTGGCCCAAAAGGCTCGGGTATGCCGCGAAGGGAGTGGTCGGCGCCGTCACAGGGGCTGCCACATCTGGCTGTGCCATGGGTGAGTGCTGTGTGCTGCCATCCTGACTGCCTTGCATTGTGGAGGCATTCTCGAAATCGGGAGCTTCCTTGACTTCCTTCTCCCTCTCCACATGTATCTTGAAGTCAATGGTCGACATGTCATCCATCCTGGTCTCCAGAACTTCTTGTGCCTGCTGCAGCAGTTGGACTGCGGTCGTGCATCTTTTGTCAGCATCGGCCAAGTGTTCTCGAAGCTTCTGATTCTCTTCCTTCAATTGCTCAAGCTCCTCACGCAAACCTGCATCTGCACTTCCATCATCATAGTCTTCCTCTGTCTCTTGCTCCTCACCTTCTCCTGTCTCGTCTGTCTCGGGGTTCCCCTCTTCATCGGACGAACGTCTCACTGCCCGAACACGACGCTGCTGCTGCGGGTTGAGCATGGTGTTGTCTGGCGATTGCACAGGAGCTCCGTCCTCCCCAACCGCAACAATGACTCCTCGCTCCAGCATTGCCATGGCAAATTGGACATGGGCCAACCGTCCACGGGCTTGTCCAACGTTGGCCATCTTCTCACGCAAGACGTTGCCCACTTTCCCGTGCTTCTGCCTGATGCGTCCGATGCCTTCCTCGGCTTTTTCGCCCTCGCGGTTCTTCTTCACTGTAGCCTGCGCTGCTTGCTGTTCCGTGCGGCTCAACTGGCCTGTCAGCTTGTTCACCTCCTGCTCACTTCGGGTCAGCATCCGCTGGGCTCCCTGCAACTCCCGTGCGAGCTTTTTCTTTGCTTCCCGCAGCTCCTGAGCACGCTTCCGCTCCGCCAGCTTCTTCTGGCGCTCGTCGTCCTTGCGTGCAGCCTCGAGGTCTTTCAGTCGGGCCGCCATAGCTGGGTCAACCTGGGGAGAACTGGCGCGACGGCCGGCCGGGCCGGCACCTCGGGCGGTGGCAGGCCGCATGGTGTCTAGCTGCGAGCTCGATAGTCGAAGACTATTCCTGGCGCTTTCCTAGCCTGATGCTTCAAATGGCTGCACCCAGCATGCAAGCATCTCACAGCAGACTGTACATGTCCCACTGCAAGCAACTACACTCAAAGCACAGACTGTTAGAAGCCTCGATAGAGGTATCCGACAATTCCTCCACGAAGGCCTCTGCCAGCTGCACAGAGAAAGTACAGCAAAGGCATGACACCGGCTTGAAAGACCGTCACCTTTCCGATGTCATCGCGCAAAGAAATGATGTCTGGAGAGCAAGTTAGGGTGAGTTTATGCCAAAAGTAGCCGAACTTAACTTGCTGTGAACTGACTCAAACCGACCAGATAGCCGTCAACATGCCGGTCAAGTTATGTTCATCTCCAGTCGTCATGCTCCGGCCAATATCAGCTTCCAGCGGCTCCGTCCAGACGTGCTTACTCTATCGTCAGCCAGCTGCAGCCTTGACACACAGCAATGTTTCTGCAATGCATCCAACGAATTACGCTTTCGAACGAACTACAGAGCTACGGTGAGACGAACGCCTGTCAGTCACCCATCAGCGACTCTGAAAGGCGTGACAGAAGCGTGCAAAACCCGGAGCATGCAGCACTGCACGACTGCGCCGGCGTGGGCTTCACCGCCGCGGCCTAAGGGTCTTGCAAGGTCTTGCTACGAGCCCCCGACGAGATTTAGGCCGTTCCACGCAACAACTTTTAATTCTTGAGAGCTCCACGCAGATCGGGTGGTGCTGGTTGTAAGCGGCCTATCGGGCACTGTACCTCAACCCATGCGTTTGCGAAGGTCCGTCTATGTCAGGAAACACATTTTTGCTGCAGAGCTTTCTGAGTCTGCAGAAGCTTAGGGACCTTCCTTCCAGCACCTCCGGGTAGCTTTGAATCATCTCCTCGAAGCCTGGCAGCACGAGGCAAACTATGCCACGTGCCGAACCCAGGGTGAGGTCTCGCAACAGCCGGCGAAGCACCGAGGCCCGAACCACCGCTGAGTGCATGAACATTTTCCCATCCCTCCAGACGTCAACTTGCGGAGTAGCTTCAACCATCTTTCAAAAGGACCAGGCTCGTGCCACTCACTGAACGGAGAGGCGCACCGGCCTTTTCTACAAGGAGCTTCGCCACGCCAATGGTGGCTTGTTCGTTTGCCCCATATACGACCTGCAGATCTTACAGCGCCACAAAGATTACCAGGTGACGAAAAAGATTCGAGCAAGCTGCCAGCAACTTTCCAGGGTCACGCTTGCAACGCAGCAGTTCAGGAATGAACTGGTCCTCCAAACACGGGCAAGGCACGGCTCACAGCATGTCAATCGTCATCTGCCCATCAGACAAACCCAGTCCACCCACAGTTGCATCGTAAGAATGATAGTGCATGGAAGAGTTTTGGACTTGGTCCTACGTCCATACCTCACAACGAGACCCAATGCGGCTTTCGGGGGCCGGAGGCTTTTGCAAGATGACGTGGATCGAGTGGAGGCAATGGTGTTTGCCACTCGGGGTGCTCACAACACGACAGCGAGGCCGTTCCAGCTAAGCTAAACCTGAAAATGGAATGCCAAGCATAGGCAAGTCAATGTCCAAGATCTCCAGCACAGCTCCCAAGCACTAAAAGGATGCCTCTAGTTTCCGAGATGACAACCCCGCTTGTTCCGCGAGGCTGTGTTGCTTCCCGCACAATGTGTCAGGAGATGGCAACAGCTGCAGGGACGACCAGCCCCCGATCTTACGAAATGGCCCTGGATTCACCAACCGCTGTCCCTGTTGATCTTGGGTGCGGGGTAGGACACCGCCAGGGGGAGGTGGCACTGGTCGAACCTTGCGAACTTGATCTGCAGGTTTGAAGACTGCTTGGTACAAGCGCCCAAGGCTCCAGCTCATCTCCCTCTCGTACATCCAGCAAAACGAGGTCCCGCGCCTGGCAGGCACAACCCTTGCCAAGTCCCTTCAGCAAAACATGCCCTCACCTCTGAGACGGTCGTGTCCGTCTCAACAACACTGACTACAGACCTTAACGGTTGCAGCATGCTCCCAAACGGTGCTGAAGGTCTCGTCGGCACTCCAGACCAAGACTCTCTTATTGAAGGCTGCCTGCATCAAGACACTTGTACTCCCCTTGTGGGAGATCCGATGCCGCGTGCATTAACATTTGTCACCCACCTTTGGTGGAGTAGCTTTCGCAAGCGTGTGACTCTGGCTGAACAAGAGCTGCGCTCCTTCTAGGATAGCACACCCCCTGCACCAGCTCGTTAGCACTGGCCACTAGGCCACAGCCGTGAGGCCACATGCCTCTGTCTTTGGAGCTTCGGGTCCCGTCTCAAGGCCTGACGCACTTTGCTGGGGTCGGTTTGGCAGCTTCAAAGGCAGAGGATTGAAAACAGCGCTGTCGCTGGCGCTGCTGGCTTATCGGGTTGATATCAACCTCCGCTCGCGAGCCTGCAAGGGACAAGGAACAGGTTTACGATCCCGCTGTCTTTTGCCCTTGCCGGGAC